AAGGGAGGCTGAGGGGAAGACGTGCAAAGAAAGAGGTCTATTTTTGTATTTTCATTTTCAGGCTTCCCCCAGTGCCTTCTGCTCTCTGAGTCACGTTCCAGCTCCAGTGCTCAGGGATGCAGCCAGAGAGCAGGAGCTGGTCAGGAGAGGGCAGAGAGAAGGAGCAGCACTGAGGGGTCCCTTGTCCCCTGTGCCAGTGTCTTCATGGGCATAACAGCAGTTCAAACTGGAGCAGAAAAGCTGTTCCCTTTTGGGCTCAGAATTGAGGAACTGGGGAATTGCACCTGCTTTAGTGCTGGGTTAATAGTTGGACTTGATCTTAGATTCTGTGGTCGTAAATCCAGGCCCTCAACAGTGACTGGAAGCCTTTGATGGCTGAAGCCCAGCCAGCTGAACAGGGAATCTGGGAAATTATGGAGAGAACTTGAACCCTGAGGCAGACACTGAAACATGGCATGAAATCCTGTCCCCTGCCCTTCCCCTCCCATTTACTACTTCAGTGGGCAGTGATGGGCTCTTGAGAGGAGAGGAGAAAACACCTTGTAGGTGATAGGGAAGTCAAGACAAATGGTGAGGAGCTGATTGTTCAGAAAGAGGTGAGAAGAACCCATCCTAAGTCCCTCTGGCCACGAGCTTGTTTCTCTAAGGATTTAAGTGATAAATACAACCCATCCCACTCCCACTGTGAGCATTCCTGGAGCTCCTCACAAACTCCCTCCAGGTGGGTTCCTGTTCAATGAACACGTGGGATGCTCCTGTGAGACACCATTAACACCCAGGGCAGCTCCAACCTTCCCTCTGGAGCAACTCTGAGACTTCTAAGGTTTCATTCTGTAAACATTTTCAGCCCGAGTTTGAGCACAGGAATTATCCTCCACCAGGGCAGAGGGAAGGGCTCGTGCCATCATCTGGTGTTTACACAAGCAGGTCTTTGGGAAAAGATTTGACACCTTCCATTCACTCACTGCCTTAATCTGAATTAACCATCAAGTCTGGAGAAGCAGATATTTTGAAAAGCAAATCCAGAAATGAAAAAAAAAAAAAAAATCCCTCAATCAGATAATTTAAACCGACACCACATTTCGAGAAGATCGAGGTTTGCAGAAAACTGAGTGTTCATTATGAATGGCTTGCTCAGCTCTTGAGAGAATCAAACATTTTGGTTGATCACAGGAAGCCAGCTCAGCTCTAGAGATGAATTGTTGGCTCAGGAAGGTGTTATTAACCCGTGGCTTTCTTTGAGTTGTGTTTTGATTGAATTGATAGGTTTAGAATCACAATGTGCTGGAGTGTTCCTGGTTTCTCGAGGTTTTACATCCCAAAGCAGGTACAGTGCAATGCCCAGGATCATGTTTGCTGTGTGAACACAGGTTTGATTTGCTGTTCAGCCTTGCTGACCTTAAATCACACCCAATACTCTTCTCAGATACGAAGAGACACCTGAGTTCCACAGCTTTTTGCTCCCTCAGTGGGAAGGAAGGTCTGGCCATGGCCTGTCCTGCATCCATCATTTGGCATCTTTCCTATTGCTTTGGCAGAGCAGCTGAGAGCTTCAGGCAATTAATTTGCTTATTTAAAAGCCCAGGTAACCACAGGTACAGAGCCATGAGGCAGTTAATGAAGGGTTAATTAGCATCTATTCTTCCACTCTGAAGGCTCCAGCGTGAAGAATGGCAGTTCAGTGGGTCAGGACTTGGCTCTCACTGGAAAACCTGATCCCAGGTCAGAACTGCCTGGGTTCCCACGCCCAGCCAGCCACGCTCAGCTCCCACAGGCAAAGGGAGGGGATGGCTCCATCCCAGAGAACCTCAGAGCTGCTGACACAGGAGCTCAGCCTGCAGAGCCCACTGCTGGTGGTAAAAGCTGTTCCAGATGAACCAGATGCTTGGGAACATCCTCCAACCAACCCCTTCAGAGGGTTGCACAGACATGAGCGATCCTTCCAGAGAGCTTAGAAAGGAGTTTTAACTGGCTCTCTGCATTTTTTTCACAGTAGATAAAGGTTGGGGAGCATTAGCTTTGCAGGGAATTTCTGTTAGTGTCCTCCACACCCTGACCTCTGATGGTTTCTGATGGTTCAGGACACCTGTGGAGCCCTATGGAATGAATTCCAACCTGACATGAGCGATCCCACTGTCCATTCACTGCCTTGGGAAAGCCTCTGAGGCACAGAGGACAACTCAGTCCCACGGTTTGGTAGGTTTAGAGTGGATCCTGACCCCTGTGAGGTCCATGTCCCCCAGCCTCCCCCATGCCAGACACTGCTCCGCCCTCACTGGGCACTGACACCCCTGACCTCCTCCTGACCCACCAGCTCCTCTAAATTAAGAACCTCTTACATCCTTCCTTGGCCCACGGGGTGCTAAGAAGGTCACCACAGATCGTGGCTTAAAGGGCCACCAAGTGCCACCCTAATCCTGGCAGGACAGGAACTGCTGGAGCTCATAAACCACCTGAGCAGGTGATTAGAGTCGGGATTTATTTGTGCTCAGACACGGTGACGGCCCCTCTGACACTGAGGTTTGTCTCAGACACACAGAAAACTTCAGCCATCCAGTGTTTGCTGAGGATGCTCCATGTCCTCTCATTATGGGACACTGCCAACCCTGCGCTGATGGGCTCAATAACAGGGATTTTGATGACCTTCCCCCTCATTGCTGGAATAATGGGCATTTTCATCAGCCTTCCTCCACTACTCTCAGTGTTCTTCTCCAGCTGCCTGAATGACAGGTATTGCCACAGTTTTTACTGGCACCTCCCAGGAAATAGGGAGCTTCAACCTTTTATTCTGTGTGCCACCAATAACTGGAGGGAGAAGTGAAAAAATGAAAAAGCAAATAATCAACCAGCACAGTGCTCGGAGTTCAGGAGTCCTGTGAAAGAGAAGAACTCACCAGATGAAAGACAGTTTCCTCCACTTCCAGCAAATCCCTGATACAAAAAGAAGGCTCCATAGTTTAAAGCCCTGTTTCATGTGCCAGCAGCCAAAACAAAACTTTTCAAAGTTTCTGGCAGTGTCCTTTGGAAAAATGTCGTCAATACTAAATAAATCATGTATTTCTTCGACGCTGCTGAAACCCATAATTTCATTTGCTGAGCTAAATCCTGGTCTGTGGAATTAGGGCACAGTAGTTGTCTTATTCAAGCAGAAGAGGGTTTTTAGCCAGTTCATTTGTTTAACATCTCTGTGTGCCAGGAATTTTTTTGTCCTACTTTGTGTCAAAATACTCTCATTACCACTGTGGGCAGATACACTAAGCTAGAGCAGGAAGTGGTTGCAGACAAATCAGAAGCAAACTCAAGTTCCTTTTCTCCCTGAACTGCCTGATCTTGCTTTGGAAAAAGTTCAGGTGAATCTTTACACCTCTGCTATTTGGAGTTTCTTGGATTAGACTTCCAAATAAAGTAGGAAGTGTAAAACTCTTGGATTACTGTACACGGTGTCTCCTGAGGTCCATGACACAGCAGCACAGCTCCTGCCTGTGTGATGAGAAGTTTTACCTGATCACACTTATATTTTCTCCCTCTTATATAAGTTCTCAAGGAAAAGAAAAAAAAACAACTGTGATACCAATTAAAACACCAGGACTGTAAAACCTGCTGAACTGGAAACTGAGGACTCCATCCCTGGAAGTGTCCAAGGCTGGACAGGGCTTTGAACAACCTGGGCTGGTGGAAGATGTCCCTGTTCTTCCCATGGCAGGGAGGTGGAACTGGATGGGCTTTAAGGTCCCTTCCAATCCAAACCATTTTGTTAATCTATGATTCCTGTTTTTATCCATCTGCCTGGGAACTGGAAGGGAAAGGGCACTGCTGAAAACATCACACCACTCCATCTTCATGCCTGAAATCTTCATCCACCCTCTGCTGAAGCAAACCCCAGGTTTTATTCACATGAAGTCCTGCTGCTCCATTCTCCACAAAACAAAGCTCACACCAGGGCAGAGAGAGAGTTCTCACCTCTGGTCCTCATGGATCTCACTGCTCAGGAAGCACAGCAAGTTTCCAACAGCCACAGTGACTCTGGATCAGAATTTCCCAATACCCAGGTCATGCTGTCACTGGAGCTGATCCCCAAATCCTCTCCCATCCTTCCACAAAACCTCTTCTTCACAGAGGTGCTCTCAGCTCAGCCTGCCTGGCCAGGCTGGGTCTGGGGGATGTCCAAGTTCGTGTCCTGACAGTGCTATGTCTGTTGGCACCTGGGAGATGGTTCTCTTCCTAAATTGTGGCCTGAGGACGCTGCTGTACCCTTTGGGGATGGGCACCTCTGTCCTGCCCAAAGCACTAACAAACCCCCGTGTGCTGATGTCCAAGGAAATCCCCTGAGCCCTCTTCTGCCACCCCCTGTGCCAGAGGCTGCTCTGCTTGCCCTGTGCACAGACAGCACCAGGGGTTTGACCAAGCTCTGGGCACCCTCCATCCCCCCCAGCAGCTCTGTGAGGTGTGTGCCTGCCCCAAGCACGATGTTCCCTGTGGGAAGCACTTCCACCCAGCTGCTCCTTGCAGCTCCTTGCTCTGGGACGTGCACAGGAGGGTCAGGCTGCTCAGAAGTCACACTCACATTCACCTTCACCACAGCAAACTGCAGAGGTGACTTTCAGAAGCAACACAAGCTGTGAATCAGAAATGCAAACACACCAAAACCCACCGTGCCCACAGCGAAACCAACCTGCCCTGCAGGGTGTAAATTAAAGCAATCCTGTCTCTGTCACCAACAGCACTGAGGGGAGTGGCAGGTTCCCAGCAAATCCAGCAACCTCTGGCTCCTTGAGCACCCAGAGCAGGCAGGATGAGCCCTCGGCCAGCAGGCTCAAAGGGACACACCTTCAGCCCGACTCCAGAACGAAGAGCCACTCGGACAAGTCATCACCTCACGCACCGGTGTCTGTGCTGCCCCAAATCCCACTGCTGAGCCCCCCAGCCCCAAAACTGGGAATTGCAGGGATCTCCCCCGCCATTCCTCACATCCAAAAGTACATCAAGGCACATTTACTTACCGGGGCTGGCTGGGCACTTGGGGTTTGTCAGTCCTCCCGTCGGCGCTGCGGGAGCAGGCGCACAACCCCTCGGCGGTCTCAGCCTCACCCTGCAAGAACCAGGACACAGGGGGATGGTAAGAGGATAATCCAGTACTTTCTAACCCTCAGCAGAGCAGGGAGTGTGGTGTTGGAAAGCAAAGCTGCTGGATGTCTGCAAGGATCAGAGCCGGGACTTTCCGAGCTAAGACTCTGAGCTGCTTAGCAGGGACCTGGAAGGGGAGCAGACAAGAGGTGGTTGTGTTTGCAGGGCTGAGCGCTGGGAGAGCTGCTGGGGGTGGTTCAGGGTGGCTTGGGCACCAGAAATCCCACAAAAAAGCCTCCTGCATCAGGTTAATGCTGGCAGAGAACACGGAAACCGGCGGATAGAGGCGGGCAGGAATTTTTGGTCACAGTGGCTGGGATTTACACGGGAAAATTAGAGTTTCCTCAAACTGAAACATCCCACAGGAAAAACGTTTCATGGTGTTGTTTATTGTTTGTTTTTCCTGCACAGAAAATGTGGTTTGAAACTGAAGGATTTGCTTTGGGTTAGACAAACTTGAACTGAAATGTTCTGTTGATGGAATTGGGATTGTTCAGCCTGGAGAAGGAGAAGGCTCTGCAGTGACCTTATTGTGGCTTTTCAGTACCTACAGAGGCTCCAAGAGAGCTGGAGAGGGACTGGGGACAAGGGATGGAGGGACAGGACAAGGAGGAATGGCTACAAGCTGAAGGAGGGCAGGGTTATTTGGATATTGAGGAGAAACTCTTCCCTGTGAGGATGGACAGGCCCTGGCACAGGTTGCCCAGAGAAGCTGTGGTTGCCCCTGGATCCCTGGAAGTGTCCAAGGCCGGGTTGGATGGGGCTTGGAGCAACCTGGGCTGGTGGAAGGTGTCCCTGCCCATGGCAGGGGGGGTGTAATTCATGATCTTGAAGGTCCCTTCCAACCCAAACCATTCTGGGGTTATAATTCCATTTTATGATACTTGGATACACGGGCTGCCTGATCCCAAGGGAGGGCAGGAGGGGCAGCCAGGGCTCCTGCAGACATCACAAACGTGGTGGTGAACAGTTATAGCTCCTCCCAGCCTGCCAGGAGAGACTCTCCAGCCTGAGAGGCTCAGTTCAGCCCCAGTTCTGCCACAGCACTGCAAAAGGTCAAGCTGGAGTGAAGCTTTTAATTAAAACCGAGGAAGTGTTAAAGAGACAGAGAAAGGCAGCCCTGGGCTCCAACCAACACCGAGGTCACAGCGATCTAGGGAGCCCATCAGTGGCTTCCACACTCCATGGATAATCCCTCCTGCACAGGGGGTCATGGAAAAGCCACCACAATGGCAGAGGTTAAAGCAGGGGATGCTGCCATGGGGCCACTTTTCCCAAGAACCCAACAAAGCAGTTGAGATGCACAACTTCCCAGGGCTGTTTCCTCAGTTCCCCTCCACATGAAAAAAGGGTGTGAACCTCTGCTGCTCCAAAGTACAGAACCTCTGCCTCTTTTCCCAAAGTACAGAAACATGGAAGACCAAATTATCATAGAATCCCACAACGGTTTGGGTTGGAAGGGACATTCAAGATCATCCAGTCCCACCCCTTGCCATGGGCAGGGACACCTTCCACCAGCCCAGGTGGCTCCAAACCCCGTCCAGCCTGGCCTTGGACACTTCCAGGGATCCAGGATCAGCCACAGCTTCTCTGGGCAACCTGTGCCAGGGCCTGCCCACCCTCCCAGGGAAGGATTCCTTCCCAATATCCCATCTAAATCCACCCTCCCTAGCTTAAAGCCATTCCCTGCTCTTACACTGAGTTCCCCTTTTCTGTGTGAGTCCTGTGGAACTCAGGCAGCAGGAAAAGCAGAGTCCAGCCCTTGCAGGGCTGAGTCAATCAGCTGAGTGCCCTGTGCCCTGATTTTTCTAGAATTACTTCAGCCCATGTTGCAAAAGTGAAGGAGAGTGGATGCAGGTCCCCTGCCAAAATACATCATCTTTGGAATTCAGTGACTGCACTAAGAGGTGCTGGTTTATCTTCACTCGGGGCTCCCAAGCCTTTCCCTTCTCTCCCCGAATGATAATGGGCATAAAAATTAAACAGAAGTTCTCCAACAAAAAGCAAAAGGCACTGAAGGGTCATAAATCACGGGGCTGGATGGCATTCAGAGGGAGCTGGGGGAGGGAATAAAGAGTGGAACAGTGCAGATACGGACTAAGATACGTCAGAGACCCTTAAAAACCCAAGACCTGTCCTTAGGGCAGGGGACTCCACACAATGGGTAAGTTCTGATGAAGCAGCAAAGGGAATGTGGCCAGCACAGCAGTGGGGTTGGTACATGATGTCCACAGTCCCACTGGGCTCAGAGCACAGGGAGTATCCCCCCAGCACCACGTGGCTGATGAAAACACCCTCTGATGTCCCTAAAGCCACAAGTCTGTACTGGTTGGGAACTGCTGAGGGCAGAAGACCTGCAAACAGATGGTCTTTCTGAGGGGTTTCCAAGAAGTGCCCTTCTTGCTCATCCAGAGGGCCTGTAGGGGTGGACCCATGGGACCAGGGCTGCCTCACTGCCACCAGCAGTGGGATCAACTTTCAGGAAAACTAAAGAGGGACCAGCCCAGTGGTGCTGGGTGTGGGGATGGAGACATCTCTGAGCAGCAGCTCTCCTGGATGGGATGTTCCCTCACCTGCTGACCTGGGATCCTGACATCAGCCTTCCACTCACCCCAAACACTCCCCAGGGCGCCGCACGAGCCTGATATTTTGGAAACAATATGTATCAGCACCGATTTGCTGCTAATAAACAGGATCACCTGTAACTGTGCAGGCACCGTCTACTTTATTAAACCTACAGATCTTGCTCTCCCAGGGGTCTGCTCCTCAACAGGAGCAGGAAATGAAAAGACAGAAAGTGCAATTTAATTGGGGATGAAGCTCCATCTCTGCACTGTCTGTCATAATTACGTGTCATTTAAAACAAGCGTGGAGCAGGTGGGAAATGGCACCAGCTCCGGATGTGCATAAAAAAGCACGTCCCAGATCGAATCAGATGGTGCAACTGGAAACTCCTGCTCCCTTCAGGTTCTTCCTTCCTTTGTTTCACCAAACTTCTCTGAGAAATTCAGTTTTGAAAGGGGTGAGAAGAAATGGCACCTCTGCAAAGCCAAGGGGTTTGAACAGAAGAGAAGGTTGTTCAGCATCACGTGCTGAGGCACAGCAAAGGTCCCTGAGGAATGTGGGAACACTCCCAGGCACCTGCTCTGGCTGCTTGGCTGGGCTGAGTGACTGCAGGCTCCTCCTGGAAAAGAGATGCCTGAAGTGAGAACCAAAGCAGAGATCTCTGCCCTTCCTGCTTTTCCAGATGTTACCAGGAACACCCTGGATTCATTTAAATCTATTTTGCTAACAAGTACCTTTTCTATACTTCTACCATGGGAGATAAAAGAGGAGGAACCCCACTTAACTAATGCACTTTAATTAGTTGCCCGTCGCTGTCAAAGCCCTGCTCTCATATTCTGATGCAAATTCTCAGCCTTTCATTCTAAGCAATACCTCAGTTTGACTTCAGTCTTCCAGTGGTCCTTAAATGTCATAATTTCTCCCCAGTGAATCAATATTCAGAGAATCACAGAATGGCTTGGGTCAGAAGGGACCTTAAGGATCATCTCAGCCCAACCCCCTGCCATGAGCTGGATAATCAGACCCTCTAATTGTCACTGATCTGCTCATCCTGCCTTGGGCTGGGTTTCTTCAGCCACTGAGCACATCAGACACTTCTTCTGAGCAAACCTTCTGGCCAGGATGGTGCTCAGGGAGCGCTCAGGGAACCAGCTCTGCTCCCACCTCTCCCCCACACCATCCTGCTCCGAAACCCACACAGCTCTGGGAGCAAAACGTGCCTTGCCCAAGGCAAACAGGGCCAGAGCATCTTCTGTGATGGAGACATGAAGCCCTAAACCACGTCCCAGCCCAGGATGGCTTTTCCTGGGCTTTTCCTGGTCCCCTTCAAGGGGCACACACACAGCTCCCCATCGTTCCTAATTTTGTCTCGTGACGTCTCCATCTCCTGCCTGTCAATCCTCCTGCTGTCAGAAGGTCACCAGGCCAGTTGGAAAGCCATTTTTCACACCCTTGCTAATCCAGAGGCACCTGGCTGCCTCCTCCCACCAGGAAATGCTGACAGCAAAACTAATTAGTGGGCAGCAGGACTAGGGGTGGGAGAGGTGCTGCAGACAGACAGCACTGGCCTTTAGGGTACCAGCCAAAAATTCCAGGGATTCAGGAGCGGTTCCTGGCACTTCCCCACACTCCCTTCATGACCTTGGGCTTCAGCTCCTCTCACTGAGGCTGATAACACTTCCCAAAGGTGGGCATGCAGATAAATTAATTCACGTTCAGGAAATAATCCATGGCAGGGGGTGGAACAAGATGGTCTTTAAGGTCCCTTCCAACCCAACCCAACCCACCCTGTGGTTCTATGAAATGCCCAGGGCCAGGGGATGCTCCGCAGCAGGAGCAGCTCAGGAGGGAGTGAACTCCTCTCTCAGCCAGTTCTGTCACCTGGATGGGTGAAATCCAGGGAACAGTCCATGCACCATCACTCGTTTTTAGGAATTTAGGATCTGCAGAGTGCCTTGCCCACCCCAAACACGAGCACAGGCATCCTCTGGGGCCCAACTGCTCCCCCCCATCACTCCCCCAGCACTGACACTGCCCGTGGCTGTGCCAGCCTCCAAACATCCCAGCTCCTGGGCAGCTGGGATAACCCCAGCTCGCAAAGAGAATGAAAAACATCTCAACACCCCTGGCCAGCGATGTTTTCACCCTTCTGTAAAACACAAAGGGCCAGGGCAGTGTCTGCTGAAGCCCAGCACGCTGGGACACGTCGGTGGAAGGACAGAGAAGCCCCGAGCTGCCTGTCAGAACTTCAGCAGTGGAGATAATTGGTTTGTACACATTTCTCCCCACCCAATTATCAGCTCGGCTTAGTGTTTGATTTAACAAGACTCTGGTCCAGCAGACCCCGCTGCTGTTCCTGCTCCCTCTCCCTCATTCCTGTGGATATCACCCAGTCCCTAA